ATTGGGAAGAACATTATCCTCTGGTAGCATATCTTTCATAAGGGCTAATAACTCTGTGAAACTTTTATCCGACCATCCATTGTCCGCCTTTAAGTTGTACAACTTTAACACCGCAGACAATCTTGTGAATTTTGAACAACCAACATACAACGGTTTCTCTGCATCGCTTACCAACCTCTTAAACATTTTGGGACAATCCGCAAGATCTTCTTCAAGCGCTTCTGCAATCTCTTCGACTCGATCACAATCGTATGTGTCTGTGCAATCGTCGTTTGAAGCATACTTCCTATTACAACTCGACTCAGCATTCCCGGTACTTTTCTCACCATGCATTGTCCAACATGTATAACTTCTATCAATTCCAAACCGTAGTAAATGAGATCCCAACTGATTCCCGTCAACCTTACCCCCGGCATAACAGCAACCCAAGCAAGGACACGACATTCGAAGCGGGTCTTTGGAGTGTGCAACCGCAAACTCAACAAATTCCCATACCCCTTTCTCGTACTCTTTCGACAATCGGTTTGAATTCATCCATGTCTTATCCATGTCTTAATTAAGCTAAACAAAAACGGTCAAACTTTCACTCTTCACAAGTAACCCCTATGGCGAATTCAATTCACAAAGTTAGTAAGTACCTCACTTAACGATAGATAAATATATGAAATTAAAATTGTAAGAAATCTCTTTTAAATAAAAAGATGTTTTAAGTTTGAACTTAATTTTTGATAGTCTTGTTTAAAATTTTTATTGTATGTATAGTAGATGTGTCAACAAATATCAAAATACAATGACTAAAATTTATGATTACAGTTATATCAATATCAATTATACACATTTTATCCCTTAATCCATATTTTCACTTCACTATACAAACTCAGCATTTAATTTCAGCAGATTCACACTCTTAACTATACAAACTCAGCATCTAAGCTTACTACTACTAAGCCATATGCTGGATGTTAAACAATATCTAAAGAGCAATATTAGAGACATTGATTGATCTATCTATTTCAAGCATATTGAAAAGAAATTCAAAAAAAGATATATAATATAATGATATTCACCAAAAAAGCTACACTGTAAGGCATAATAATTTTAAACCACTGTTGCAAGACATTATGATATAGACCTCTAGTTATATTTATTAGGATTAGTTCAGTTGCATAGGTCTTAAGAACATATTTTCAGTTGGTTACAATACTTCCTTCCTACCACTTCATCAACAAAGGTCATGGCTACGGAATATCCTGAGCATGTTCAGGATATTCCGTAGCCATGACCTTTGTTGATGAAGTGGTAGGAAGGAAGTATTGTAACCAACTGAAAATATGTTCTTAAGACCTATGCAGGCGGCAGTGGCGGAGTTTGTGATTGGTTTCTCCTAAAATTACTAGTTAATAGGTAGCTTATGTTTTAACCTAAATCTTTTCTTAAAAATAGGACATTCAAATTTAAAAATTCAAAAAATACTAACTAAAAATAAATAAAATAATAAATCTTAATGAACTGAACTAATCCTAATAAATATAACTAGAGGTCTATATCATATGTGTAAGAGAAAATTATATATTTTTCATATTTTCATTGAAAAATAAAATCACAAATCTTACTGATGAATAGTTACCAGGTATACTGAGTTTTACATTGATTGATAAATAAGTCATAGCCTTACTTATACAGTTGTTTACACAAAATTGGACCCTACCCACTTTTAACTTTAACAATATTATTTTGGATATCCAAATTTCATGGAACATTTACAATAGAAAACTTTAAACTTATTGCAAGATCATAACTGTTAAGCTTATTAGATTGGCTCCAAAAATAGTCTTAGAGAATCGGAGAGGATTCATATGAGACATAGTACAAGAAATCTTTTGAAAGAAACATGGCTATGAAAATTGATATAAAAAAAAAAAGCATTTGTATTCACCAAAAAAGCTACACTGTAAGGCATAATAATAAAATAATGAAAATCACCTTAGACGAAGATGTGAGTAGATTCAATTCAAATAGCAAAACAGCAAAAAGCAGCAGCAAAGATGGAAGACGATTGAGAAGCAATACCAAAACTTTATTCTCAAAACCACGCAAGCTCTAACCCTCCACCCAGGGCAAGACCATCAATAGCAGCAACTGAAGGTTTCCTTCCCCCTGAAAGATGAAATGAAATTCAAAATCAAAATAGAATACATCGACAAATGAGTTGCAAAGAAAACTTCAAAAGAAACCGTACCTTCTATAGTGTCAGTAAGAAGGTCTACTGATATCAAACCAGGACTTGTCTTCTCTGTATATGGCAATGAAGAATTAGAAAATGAGTGCAAATACATTTACTAAAACAGAAAACCTTAAAAAAAATATAAGAAAAATTCCGCAAGCAATACCATTAGGTGAAGCCTCTAGCTTCTTGAGAATCACTGGCTCAGCTCTCACACAGTCTAAAAAGACAAAGCAAACATCATAAAAAAACATAACCTCATGGATTTTCATAAATGGAAGAAGTATCATGCTTCTCAAACTGCAAATCAAATATATAAAACACCCAAAATAAATGCAAATTGCTTCTTTTGTACATATCTTATCACTTCCACAAAACACAAGACTTTCCCTATCCATAATTAAGAGAAGGGTAATTTAGGCTTCTTTTTTTTAATAAATTACTAATAATTCATGTTAAAAAATACTCAAGCACATAGTAGGTCCCCAAAACCACCTATTAGTGCAAGTCACCATCAAACAAACACTATCTTATGCTATATTCAAACATGATCATCTTCCAAACCACTATTGAAAATATACAAAAAGAAAAACCAAACCAAAGAAGAAGAGATTCTCTCTCTCTCTCTTGTTGTTTGTGTTTCAAGCTTTCAAAACCTTTTCTTCCTAAACTCCCTCACATGAAAACCAAAACCACCACAAAATCTTCCCCCCTTTCTTGAAAAATGGTTCAAAGAAAGGTCCCAAACAATCTTAGTATCCAAACACAACATGTTAAATTTGACAAATTTCCCACAAACATGAAACTATCTTCTTCATCTTCTCATCAACAAAACCAAGATGATAAAAGTAAACTTTCTAAGAAAATGAAGATATCAAACTCAATCAAACTCTCTCATCTTGAGACTCTTCAACTTCAATCAACACCAATTTCAACAAAAACAACAACAACAAAAGATGGTTCACCAAATTACATGAAGCACACAAGTAGTTCACAATCAAAAAAGGAACTTTTTCATGTAAGTCTTAGAAAAACTCAATCTTGCTCTGTTTCTAAGAATCTTGATACAAAATTTTCTAGTGATTATTCATGTAAAAAACCTAGTTTGAGGTTGAGGGTTATGAAGATATCATCAAGTCTACAATTGAAGATGATGTCATAGAAGCAGATTTTCTGAAAGAGGTTAAGGATCAAGAGAAACATGAAGATGCAGATGCAGATGAAGAAGAACAATCTAGTTGGTCTCATGAAGAAATGAGTATGGAAGATGTTCACAATAATTTGGATGATTCTGATTCCGAACGGTCCTATGGATTTGAGCAAGAACATGATGCTGATTCCCAAAATAAATCCCTAATTTTTCTTATGCAGCATTTTCACAAACAGTGTGTCTACATAGTGCTATGTTATAAAAAAAAAACAATCAACTAAGAAAAGAAAAATACCAGGGCACCAGCTGAGAGAGGTAGAAGGATCATTATCAGCCAAGAACAGAACGAGGTTTGCTCTGTTTTTAGGAGCCTCTGATCGGAATTTCTCAAAGACAGAATCAAAGTTCGATACCTGCTAATCCCTCCGGTCTTTGAAGTAAAAGCAATACCACGCAAGCAAAGAGTTGAAGACAAGATGCAAGCAAAGATGGAAGACGATGAACGCGTTTCTGAGAATGCAAGATTTTGTGCGTTTTCAGCAGAAATTAGGGATTTGGAAGAAGAACGCGTTTAGGGATTTGGAAGAAGAATGCAAGATTTTGTTTTAAAAAATTTTAATTGTAAAGAGGGTACGAAGGCGCTTTTGAAAAGCGCTTTCGTAACTAAGGCTATACCAGCGCTTTTGAGGATAAAAGCGCTCTTGTACCCCACCCCCTATATCAGCGCTTTTGAAAGCGCTTTCATAAGCCCCCTATAAGAGCGCTTTCAGAAAGCGCTTTCATACCCCCCCACTATAAGAGCGCTTTTCAAAAGCGCCTTCGTACCCCAGCCTCTAAGAGCGCTTTCTGAAAGCGCTTTTGTAACCCCCCCCCTTTAAGAGCGCTTTTTTAGCGTGTTTTTTTATTTTGTTTTTAGCGCAACCTATACCAGCGCTTTTACAAAAAGCGCTTTAGTAGGGGTGCTGCTAAAAGACAAATTTGGTGTAGTGAGTGAAACTCTAGTTGTAGGTCAACTGCTTAAGAGGAGAATTTGTCTGATCCATTCTTGAGCAACCTTGAGCATTTGAGAACCCTAAGAGCACGAGGAGGTATCTTGAAAAAAATGGAAGAGAAAATTTTGGGGTACAACATCCTCAAATTAAGGTTTTTTCAATTTTAAAAACTACCCACCTTGCCCTTGGGCCTCATTACTATTATTTGGGTCTCAATTTGATGAAAAAATATCACCTTAATTTTTAACAAAAACAAATAAATACCTTATTTATTTTATTTTTGACAATATTATTTGTTTTAAATAAAAACACATATAGCCATAAATCAAATGCACATTATTAAAATAACAAATTGAATAAAAACGAGAATTTCGCGACAATGCTTGCATAAAAGCTAAATAAAGACAGAGTGAAAGACAAATTGATATGATTTATTGATTTGGGAATTTCTTATAGTGCATTAGAGAGCTTCTATCTCCTCCATATATTGCTGTGATGATATGATTTATTGAAAGTGGAATTTCTTATAAGAAACATATATAAAAAAATATATTCCAATTCTAACATGATTAAATTATATTTAAATGGATGATATGGCTCATCTTATTTTTATATACAAAAAAGCTTGTTTACTTTACGTGGAATTTTTTTGACATGTCATATTAAGGGGAATTGGAGGATCTGTAAAAGCTCCAGTAGAGATTTGATCAAAGACAATTTTGTTAGCTGCCTCTGTGTAATGGATACCATCCCATACGATTCTAGTATTTGGGCTTAAACATGAACCTACAACTTTTTGTGTACCACTTGTGACTTGTCCACAGTTACCACGACTATTATAGTTGTACTTTCCTCCATTACCACAACATGCCATAAGTGGAAACTCAAATCCTACATATTAATTAATCAAGTATTCAAATTAATGATATGTATATATATATAAAAATTATTGCATGGAAACAAGGTCATCTTGATTTGACTCACCATATTTTTTTGGATTCTGAAAAAGAGAATACTTAGGAGAGTAAGTATCTACATATGTGATTGCAGCCAGAGGGAGATCAGAACGGAGTTGAGCTAAAGCTTCCTTCAACTTTAAATTGAAATATTGAGACACTTCATTGTATATCTTTGCACAGCCATATCCATCTTTTATAGAGGTTGGAAAACTAGCTAAAATTATGGGAAGACATCCAATTGGTCCTGTGTTGTGTATCCAAAATGACCTAGCCCCTAAGTTGTATATGTTCTACAACACCAACAAGTTTCATTCATTTAGAACAAGAAATGAAAAATAAAAAAATTATACTCCCTGATCTTATTTATAAGAAAAAATTTACTTTTTAAGTTCATTGAATTATTAATGTATCTGCACTGTATAATAAATTAGATATATTGATTATTCAATAAATCTAAAAAGTCAACTTTCTCTTATAAATAAGATGTATATGAATTTTCTTAGAAAGAAGAGTGTTCACCTACTTTGATATTCTCTATGAATTTGTCTACTACATTAGGTATAGTAGCATTGACTTGTTGTATGCTTGTATTACCAAGAAAACCAGCAGTAAGATCATTTTGACCAATATCAAATGTGTATAAGGCTTTTGAAAAATAATCTTCTTTAGGGACCAACGTTGAAAATACACCTCCTAGAAAAAAGAAAAAAAAAACTTAGATTCATTGAAAAGCGTCAATGAAAAAACAAAAATCACTGAAAATTTTCATTATTATTACCTTGATCTCTAATGAGTTTTGTATTGAGTATAAAATATTTGAACTGAGTGCATTGAACTGCCAAGCAAAAGGGACTAAGTTTTCCCAGAGGCATAATACTAGTAGGAATATCGACTGTTGATGCAAATGTTGCAAAGTTTGCGCCATGTGTGAAGTTTGACCCTAGAGAATCAAGATAGGGACTGATATATGGAAGTCCAAAGTTCTGTGCTGAAATAACAAAAACAACATTGAATTTATAAGTAAATCCTTCATAAATAATTAAATATAAAGCTAGAGTTAATCTTGCAAGACGAGGTGGATTTGAGGTTCTAGGATTGGTATAATGTCTATTGTGGTTGAGATCCATAAAGTTATATTTATTTGTTTTTTATTGTAATTTGGTTTCAAAGTTATATTTATTTATACATTCAATATATAAATAATTGTAGTTAGTTATTATAGGACAAATCCTACCTTAATTGTAGCTTAGAATCTCTAGTATGTATTTTGATCAAAAAAAAGGCAAAGGAGAATTCATCTTCCACCTATAGAAAATGCAATAGAGAAAGTATAGTGCATTATTACCTATAAAATCAAGAATGATTCGGCCATCAGAATACCTTCCTGCTGATCTATTAAAATAAGTGATTCCATATGGTAATCCTGGTGGTCCAAAGGCGGCCGCCATACCACCCGTATCCGAGTTCGAAGCACCAAAGTTGAAGATGGCAGGAAAATTGCAATCCTTCGTAGCAAATATTGGAGAAGTAGTTGTAAACAAAATAACCATAACCATAGATGCAAGTGACATGTGACTAGGAAACTGAATTTGTGCCATGAATATCATAGTGAAGCATAAAAGAACCTATCAAATTATGATCATATGATTATAAGGTAATCAAAATCTTGAATTTATAGATGATATGATAATTAATACTGATTAAATTTGATCAGGAAAAAAAAGTAGATAAAATAGGTTTCTACCATGCATGTTATTGTAGTTATGTTCTAATTTTAGATTTTTCATGCAAACCTTAGACGAGTGAGAGGTGTGCATTGAGAGGTTGAGACTTGAAAGGTGAGGTAGTATTGTAATCCAATGTGGCTCAAATGTGATCACATGGTGATTAGGGGTTAGAAAAATTTAATTTCATATTTTTTTTATTTCCTCCATTTTGTGTGGAACTCATATTTTTTCCAAACCTGTAATAAATATTCAACATTTTTATGACTTCATATACACAAAACTATATAGTCATAAAATTGTCTTTTTTTTTTAATTAAATGAAAAGGATCATTGCTATGTGATTAGTAGGTTTGACATATAAAGGTGATTTTTGAGACAGTTTTAATAAACAGATTATCAAATTATTTGTGTTTAATGAGATGGAATCTATCTCGAATGCATGAAGTATAATAAAAAAAAGTATTTTTTAAAAAATAAATAAATAAAAGTCTCACTCGAAAAAAATTGATTTATAAGCATGTTATCGTATAAAAAGAAATAAAATAATTTACTGAATTAAAATATATAATAAATTATACAGAAATATCATATAAATGGACAACAAGTTGTGTTGCTACCCTTATGAATAAAAAAATTTATTTTTCTTAAACTATATTCATTATATTAGGAGATACAATATTGATATGCACGAGCCTTTACACTTTATGTAAAAGATCCACAACATCTCGTGCTAGAAAATAAAAAATGTCAAAAGCAAAAGGTATTAAATCATGTTGATTGTTGGATTACGTTTTTTCATGATTTGTCACTTTATTTGAAGCGACTCTGAGAACCAACTGTCTCACAACAAACCCTTCGGTCCTCATTACCACCAGTAGAAAAACCCCGGACAAGTCTACACATGCGTAATTTCCATCCCATCCACCCATACACCATAGCATATATTAGCTTAAGTATCGAACTTTCTTTCTGAGATTCAGTCAAGAAATTCACAGACACCTCTTTCTTCACAGATAACACGGCACACTGAAATATGTCAAATAAGACATCCCTAACAAAATGGTGTCGGTATTTGAATCTTTGAAGCTCCTTACAATGAATGACGTGTTCTCCAAATGTATTCAAGCATGCCTTGCAGCAAACAAGGGAAACCCGAACAACAAAAAATTAAGGAATTATAGTCGGTATTTAAGGATCGTACGATACTCTACCAAGATAAATGTTGGCCTAACCGTCATAAGGATAACAATGAAAAATATCGAGCATGTATTTCTCGCAAATAACCAAAAACTGTTTTATGTCTTGTGGTCATGTCAAACTTTATATTCATGTCTTGAACACTTTTATTAAAAAGGACACTCGTCAAAACATATTATGCTTTAGAAGACTAAAATTATCATTTGAGCAAATTTGTTTATGTGTTTTATGCAAAGTTCCACGCATAAGAAAATCACAAGGTTGAAACAAGTTAGACAAATAACCACTAAATACTACACATTAACCAAATCATAGACGGATTCAAGGCCCGACTAGGTTGGACAATTGGCCAGACTCTGGCCCAAATTTTTTGTGAGGTAATTTGTATGATAAAAAAAGGGAAAAATTAAAAGTCTTAGTTAATGAGGGACTAAATGAATTAGTTCTTTGGAGCTGAAGTAATTTTGTCTAAATTTCATAATTTTTCTGACTCCATTCTTGAACTAAATATATTTTCAAACATGTTAAAAAATTACATGCGTCAATCAAAACCAATATACCAATAACATTATAAATAGAACCATATGTTCAAGAATCATCTAGAAACTACATTGATATTATTAAAACAAAACAAAATAGTTTAAGAAAGTAAATGAAGGAAAAAATCAATATATAAATTAAATTAGAGGTCTTTTAGCCTTGGCTCAAGAGTTAGACTCTAAAATGACAATCTCATGTACTTCATTACAAATAAAGTTATAAGACATCAATTTATTTTCCTATCAAAAGATATCACATTATATGAGAAATATCTAAAAGAGTTGGGCATTTTGTAAAGAAATAAATGTGAGTCGTAAGTGTCATATTGTTTAAAAAATTGAAGATTGAATGTCATATTATTTAAAAATTTTAATAATATGTAATATCTCTCTCAGTTGTTTGAATGAGTTTTTACACGGTGTGTGTTTTTGCTCATGATGAACCATCACCTTTTGGATTTAATTTCATGTAATATAGGAAGCAACCATACTTAAGTCATAGTTGTCAACTCCTTTCATATTTTTAATTATTGACAGCATAGTCATTTAATCTGATACGAATTAGAAATTCCACTAAATTTATTCTTAAAATTTTAGTTTGCTTAACAACATGAATTACTATAACAAAAAGCTTGATCAACTAGAGGTATCTATGAGGTGATTCACGCTTCACTAAATTTTGAAGTTGTTTGAAGATAAACCCCTTGCAAAACACAAATCAAAAAAACAAAATTAAAAAAAAAATATTTAGTGTAGGGATGCCCCTTGCAAAATATATGGAGGAATTTTTAAATTTTTAAGTGTTTACCGCTTTATAACTTGTGAGGGGCTTAACATCACAAAAAATGATTGTAGCATTTATGTTGGGTAACCCCTTGCAAATATCAGGTCTTGTCACATCCACCGCTTCGTGTGCCAGACCTTGCAGTTGCTTTAAAGATTCTCTGAAAAGTGAATCACAGTTTGTGAGGGACTGCCCCAAGCAAAATGTGAATGTTGAAAACGCGTGGGGATCCCCTCACAAATGTTTGTCCAATTGTCTCATCCACCATTTTGTGTGCAGGCGTACCAGTTACTTCTGAAAAGTGAATTACATTTTGTGAGGAATTGCTTCAAGTAAATTGTGATTATTGCTGACGCGTGGAGAGTCCTCTCGCCAATTGTTGTATTTATAAATGCTTCAGCCTTTCACTTTCCCACATATCTCCATTTATCTTTAGAACTTTTAGCCTTTCTTCTTGTCTAACATTCATTTCTCTTTACTAAATCTTCAAAACCTTCATCTCAATTTTCTAAATCTATAGCAAATTTTCATCCTTGAGAGTACCTATCTTTCATTTTATATTTTTATTTAATTATAATTTATATATTTTAGTTTATATAAAATATTTATTAATAATTCTCATTTCCATTTTCTGATTTTAGATATCATTGTTATCATCTAGGGAAATTAAGGAGTTCAAATGCAAAGTGTGTTCATCTTTAAAGTACACTTTTCTGTCTATTTTTTTTTAAAATTATAATTATATTTGTTGAAATGGATTGCTGTTAAATATTAAATTTGTATTTATATTATTTTATAAAAAAAATTTTACTGATATTTTATGCGTTTATAATAAATATTATTTTAAAAAAAGCTAGAAATAATGAATGAAAAATAGTATTATTTTATAAAACGTTTTTTTAATATAATATTTAAAAAACAGTTGAATAAATAATTTATTTAATTAAAAAAGGTATAAAAAATATACTAAAAACTATTTTTTTTAATAATAAAATCTATTATTCAAAATAGTATTATTTTATATAAGAATAGTATTATGAAAACAGTTTAAAAGTAGTAGGTTAAAAATAATTTAAATATATTGTATAAAAAATAGTATTATTTTTTAATACAAATTTTTTTAATAAATATTATCTTTAAGAACAGTTTTATAAATATGTAGATATAATTAATTAAAAAATGAGTTATTTTTTTATAAAAAAATAATATAAAAACATTATAAAAAACATTATAAAACCTATTATTTTTTAATAATAAAAACTAATATTTTTTAAATAAAACAAAACATGGGAAAATGGGGCTAGGGCGTCTGAAAAAGACGGTGCCACCGTCGCCGATCTATGATACCCCGAAAACTCTGATCAACGGTAACAAGACCATCTGAAAAGCTTGCTCAGCCTGGTTCTCTTCTACACCAAGCTAGTTCTAGCAAGGTGATGAAAGAGAAGGAGATAAAGAAATCCAAGTATGAAGAGGAACACAAATCTGATGAAGTCGTAAATGCGGAGGCAAAGGAAGGATGTAAACTATGGGTAGATGTGTTTAACGACAATTGGAATCCTGCGAAGGGAAAATTATGAAATTCATAGCCCCTAAAATTGTCAACAGTGAGATTGAAGTGCTGATAGATGACGTTGATGTGATAGATGAAATTAAGTTCTTGCAACCATCCTTTATCCTCTATGCGCTAGGTGGTGAGTTAAGTATAAATGTTGTGAAAACCTTCATGATTAAGAATTGGAACTTTGTTCAGCTGCCTGACATGTATTATCATGAGGAAGGATACTTTGTACTTCGGTTTAAATCCTTTAGGGAAAGGGATGAAGTTTTTATGAAAGGCTTGTTCTCAATCAAGAATATACCGTTGTTTATTCGTGAATTGCGTCCGGATTTCAATATGAAGAATGACCTACTTCGAACACTTTGGGTAAGACTTCCTTATCTTCCTTTGTATCTTTAGGGTGATACTAGTCTTAACAAGATTGGGAGTGCTCTAGGTAATCCTATTTTGACAGATGAATGCACAACTAATAGGTTAAGGGTCTCGTATGCAAGAATCCTTGTGGAAGTGGATATTTCGAAAGAATTGCCTAAAGAAATTATTATAAGGGATAATGATGGAGAAAAGTTGCAACATGCAATTGAGTATGAGTGGCATCATCTTTTCTGTGGTAAATGCCAAAAATTAGGCCACAACTGCGAGAAACCAAGAGCTAAAGTTGTGTCGTGGAAGCCAAAATCTAGCCAAGCTTATGGAAAGAAACAGATCCATACTGATACTAAGAAGGGCATAATGAAGAAGATTAATGCCAAAGAATCTGACGGTAGAATTTCTCCTACTAAGGAGATTACTAAGATTGTAGATGACCTTATTCACCCCCTGGTAAGGTTAAAGATGCTGAAAGGGAAGGAGTATGGACTGCAGATAACAAGAGTGGAAAGATCAAGGAAAAAGAGTTGTAGGAGATCCATCTGGGTCTGTCACTTGTGAAAATTGTTTTGATGCCCTGCAGATTTTGAATGATCTGTTGGTGCTGCAGGACACCGTTCAATGATTGTTTCTGGAATATCAGGGGGCTGAATAAAATTGGTAAGTTCAAGGAGATTAGCTCCCGTCTCCTAAAGCTGACGGCTGATATTAACATTCATATAGAGACTAGTGTTAATATTTATGAGGTAAATATTTTGACAATTACTTTTTCCATGAGAATAGGCGTATCTGGCTACAGTTGAATCCTAACAACCTTGAAGTTAAGATTAACTTTGGGACTAGCTAAATGATTCACTATGATATTTTTGATATCCAGGGTAAGTTTTGTTATCGGTTGACTTCTATATATGGTTTGAATAAGCTTGAGCAAAGTAAAATCCTATGGAGAGACCTTAATAATCTGAATCATCAAGGTCCTTGGATCCTCATTGGTTATTTCAACAATGTTTTGAAATCCTAAGATAGGGTTAGTTTTAACATAGTAATTGAGGTTGAGTTCAGGGACTTGCAAGCTATGATGGATAACAGGATTTATCTAAGATGATTGGTAATGGTGACTACCACACTTGGTGCAACAAGCATATTATTGGTACTATCTACTCTAGAATTGATAAACTTCTAAGTAATACTGACTAGTTTCAAACTAATCTAAAAGCTACTATCAAGGTTTTACCTCCCAATGTTTCTGATCACTCACTACTTTACCTGACTACCTAGTATGCTCCTTCTAAGCATCACAACAAATTTCATTTTGTTATTGTGTAACTGAGACCCATGGTTATAATGATGTTGTCAAATCCAGTTGGGAAGGTCCTTTAGAAGGAAGATCTAACTTCATTCTTTTGCATAAGATGAAGATATTGAAAGTTGTGCTCTATAAGTTGAACAAGCCCCTGATTCTTGCTAAACAAAATATTGTTTTGGCTAGATATAGGCTTTCCACTTCTCAGGCTACCTTGGCAGCAGATAGGATGAACAACCAGAAAAGCCAAGATGTTAAAGTGTGCACTGAGGAGCTTATTTATTGGAATGAAATTGATGATTTTACTTTAAGGTAGAGAGGTAAGATTAAATGGTTAAAAGCTTGTGATGGTAATAATTCTTACTTTCATGCCTATGTGAAAGATAAGCAAAATGCTAGGGTTTTGAATATGGTGGAGAAAGAAGATGGAACCATCCTGACTTCTCAAACTGATATTGAAGAAGAGATTTTGAATTTCTTTGGTTGTCTGATGGGTCATAGGGAGCATGAGATGATATGTATTGATGTTGGAGCAATGAGAAAAGGACCCCAGTTAGATTATCTACAGAGAAATAACCTTGAGGGTCCTATCACTGAGCAGGAAATATACTCCGCTCTAAAAGGATTGATGATATGTCTTCTCTTGGGCTTGATGGGTATAATGCTAGGTTCTTTAAGTATAGCTTGGACATCATCAAGTTCGATTTTACGGTTGTTATACATGAGTTATTTGATAAAGGGAATCTGTTTAAAGCTTTCAATTGCACTCTGGTTTCCCTTATCCATAAAAGTAGTTCAGCTAAGTACATTAAATACTATAGACCTATCTATGTTTGCATAATGGTTTATAACATTATCTCTAGGATTCTAACAACTAGATTGGGTAAAGTCATTGGTAGCATCATCAATCCAACTCAGGTTGCATTTATCTCTGGGCAACAAATCCATAATCATATCCTCTTGGTCTATGAGCTAATTAAAGGTTATAGTAAATCTAGTGCCCCCCTATATGTATGTTCCAAATTGATATGCAAAAAGCGTACAACATGATAAACTGGCAAGCTCGGGAGTCAATTATGTATCAGATAGGTATTCCCCCTAAGTTCATCAAGTGGGTTATGTCTGCTTTGTCTTATGTATCTTGCAGATTCAACATGAATGGGTCTCTTTCTCTTGCATGCCAATACAGAGATTAAGCAAGGGGATCCAATTTCCCCTTACATGTTTGCTATAGTCATGGAGTATTTGTGTCACTGTATGGTTCAAATGCAACTCAACCCTAATTTTAACCATCATGCCAAGTGTGAGAAGCTGCAGCTGGTGAATCTTATGTTTGCTTATGATGTTTTGCTATTTTCTAGATGTGATGTGCATTCGGTGGAGCTTATGCGTAAGGCTTTCAACACTTTCGCTCTCTCTACAGGTATGAAGCTCAATACTAGCAAAAGCAAGATTTACTTTGGCTCAGTTTATCCTGTGACTAAAGAGAAAATCCTTAGAATTTCTGATTTTCATGAAGGGTCTCTCCCCCTTTAGATATCTTGGTGTTCTTCTCACTTGCAAGAAATTATCCATTAGTCATTATTTGGGTCTTGTGGGGAAAATTGTTGGCAGGATCAGTCATTGGTCTTCAAAGCATTTGAGTTATGTCATACCCCAAATTTTCCCTATGGATTTCTAACTAAATTATTCCTTATTAATGTTATTCTTTTTATTATCAAATTATTGAGGGGTATGGAGGGGGGTATGTTTTAACAAAAGAATTTATGGGCTTTCTAAATCAGAAAGGCCCGTGTAAGCTTTATTCAGTTTTACGTTACAAGATAAAAGAAGGAGGTATTGTTACAATAGGGGTGTATTGTCTTAAATGGACAATCAAAGTCCGATGGCCCATTAAGACAATTTTGCTGACCCGATTCAAGATAGAAAGAGGGTGTACGTTTGTTTGCTTCAGTTTTTATTGGATAGGCCCATTGAATTTCTGACCCATATTCTTTTTGAAACCCATTGTGCTAAGAATATTGACTAGAGTCAACATTTTTATTCATTTATTTATTTATTGCCATAATTAAGTTTTATTAATTATTTATTAATAACATTTTTATTGTTTATTAAGTTAAAATGTATTATTTATTTTTAATGTCTGAAGTGTTGACTAGATTCAAACAGACCAAAGCTAGGGTTTTTCAACCCAAACTCCCAGTGGTTCCCTTGCAAAACCCTTCATCACTTTAAGCTCAGATCGAAGCCCAAAAACCCATCAAAACAGCCAGTGTACAAATCTGAGAAAAGAAACACATAATTAAAATAGATCTAAAACAAATGAACCATATCAAATATAATTTAATCATATCTTTCATTTATAGACCAAATTGTACACAAATTACACAAAATCTTTCTAAATCAATCACTAAATCAAATTGAATCCCTAAAAACAGAATAAAATCTGCTAATTCCTAATAGATTATAAAAGTAACGATAATCATAAAACATTTTCCTAATCTATATAAAACCTAAACTATAAATAGAACCTAAGAAAATTCTAAAAATGTAGGAGAGGAAATTGAGAAGAGCACAGTTGACAGAAAGGAGAAGAAAAGAATTTTAGGGCTTCAATATCTGAAACCCTAAAGTTCTTCGCCGCTACACCGGCACCACTCTGGTACCTGCAAACAAAAGAAGAAAAAGTAAGAGATCAGAAGAAGGATTCAGGAAATTAATTATACGACCAGTATCACGGTAGGAGAGGTAAACACAAATCACTTAGCTTTAGGGATCTTAATTGCATGATTGATGTTTGAATATTTCATTTCAGGAAATTTTGGGGTTTTTAGGGTTAGGGTTTGTAATACGGTGGGAGAACTGACTTGTCTTTGCATTTTATCGCAAATGTTGTAAATAGCAAGAGTCGCCACCGTCTTTTATTTTATCCAATAAGGAAAGGGTGAAACGATTAGGAAATACCTCGATAGATTTTGAGTTCGGGAGGTAAGTTATAAAAAGGGAAGGTGTTGGCATCCTTTTAATCTATAGTTATCTACGGGCTCTTAATCGCTTAACTCACTTTGAAAATTTTCTTTTTTGCGTGTGATTTGAAAATATTTTGAAATTTTCCAAGGAGAACTTTGTAATAACTCTTGTATCGATCCTCAAGAGTGTATACAAAGTGTTTAAAAATATTTTGAAAGTGTAGTGTGAAAATGTTTTATTTGTAAAATTTATGAGCAAGCGATTAAAAGTATTCTACCCACTCAAGGTCGTTCTTGTACTTTTCCTTATCCTTTATAGATAGTGCTATCCATACCATTAGTTTGTAGGTAGCCCCATCCATTGGATTTAAAGGGACAGGTGAAGGTTCATCCTACGGTCATCGAAGGAAACTGGTAAGGATACTTTAGCAATTTCATAATGGACTAGATCATTTTTCATAAGGCAACATCGAAGGGTCATCGAGGGACTATGATCTTTTATTTGAGGGTCTTTGCTAAAACATCCCTATTTTCTAGGGACATGACCGTTGTTGTACCCCAAAATTTTCCCTCTCACTTATCAAGAATCTTCTCACAAGATCTCATTGGGCTCAAGACTGCACTAGGGTTTGATCAGCTCAAGACACCTCCTTATGCACTGATGACCAAAATTAGGGTTTGAGTTTGCACAAGGATTTTTAAACTATCAATGCCCCATATGAATTTCATGGATCATTATGGACCCCCAAGATTACTCATGTCAAGTTTCAAGCCTTGGATCACACTTTTGATCAGTCAATTGAACAGTTGACTTAAAAATCAACTGTATTGGGGAAAAAGTCAACCATGGCCAATTTACAGTCAAATTTTATAATTTTTGATCCACATCAACATTTTAAACCCATATGTATCATTTGATCAAGTTTGGACCACAATTCCTCAAGAAATTTGATCAAATCTCCAAAAGGGCAAAATGGTCAAAATTAGGGTTTTGACTGGGAAAAGGCAATTTCTGATTTTTGACCTAGCAAATGGTCAATTGGTTTAAGGCATGATCTCAAGAGTCCATTTTCATCATTTTGACCTAATGACATGATTCAAAACATTACAAATCCATTGGATTGACAGATGAATTTTGCAGTCAACTGTATAATGAAAAGTCAAACTTTGACTTTTTGGTCAAATTCAAGTGTCAAAGATCACAATTCATCAAAACATGTCAAAATAGGAAACTTATTCATCAAGAAATCAAGAAATCAAGAAATCAAGATTTCATTTTGAAAAGTCAAAATTTCTTAACTTAGAAATGTTTCTAAGTGTTGAAATTTTCTTATTTTTTCATAACTTTAAGCCAAATTTTCACCATGATGAAAGATGATTCAAGAGAAACTTCCAACATGAAAGCTGTAGATCTCCAAGAAATCTAAAACTTTTATTCACACAACTTCTCCTAAAAGTGCTTGGTTCTCAATTTATAATTTTGTGAATACATGCTCATGAACTAAAAAAGACTTAGTGAAATTTTGCCCTAGTTAGGCAGATTTTTGACCTAACTTCATGGAATTTTTTCACATAGTTTCAAGGTGAATCTTCAAAATAAATTCAAATATGGGTTGTAGATCACATTTTAAACTTTCCAAAATGTCCAAGAACTCCTTGAGATCATTCTTGAGCAAGGATAATCGAAGGCATGAAGTTAGGGTTTTCAAACTTGAATTACAAGCCATTTTGTGAAGAACACTTGATCTAATCTTCAAGCATGATGTACAAATATTGCTTTGCAGGATTCAAACTTGCTAATCACTCAATAATTTAATGTTTACACAACTGATAGAGCCATTGTCCAAGCATTTGAGCCATTATCCAAGTTGCATTTCCATTTTGGGAAGAAAGTCACCACTTCCATTTTGGAAAAGTGACTTTAATCACAATGTCAACTCTTCTTGAGCCCATACATTGTTGTTTCTGACTCAAAAGCATTTAAAATCAAGAAGAAACATATCTACCGCCTGATAACTACCCTGCAAATCCTTGTACTTCACATTAAAACCATGTTTGTCAACTTTGCTTCAAAAACAAGTAACCAAGCCATAACATGTGATTTCAATTTCTGAGTTTTTTCAAGCCTCAAAACCTCTTGCATATAAGTAAATACACTATTTTCAAGATGGCACACGAATACTAAGACCCCAAAACACTCCCAAGCACTCTGCAACTCAGAATCTGCCTTAACTTGACAATTTTGAACCTCACATAGCTATCTCCAAATCCACTCGTGCATATTGAGTTTTAACCATCCAAACACTTAATATACATCATATCAAAGTGATCCAGACCCCTGTTTCAA